CCGGGCGCGCCGCCCACGCTCGCCCGCAGCAGCGCGCCCAGGGCGCCGCCCAGGGCGCCGCCGGCCCCAGGCGCTCCGGCCCGCCGGGGCGGCGCCGCGCCCGGGGCGGGCGCAGCGTCGGGCTCGTCGGGGGCCTGGACCTCCTGGCGGGCAAGGGCGAAGGCCTCCTCCGTCCTCCGTCCTCCTCCCTCCTCCGTCCTCCGTCCTCCTCCTCCGTCCTCCGTCCTCCTCCTCCGTCCTCCGTCCTCCTCCTCGTCCGTCCTCGTCCGTCCTCCTCCTCCTCCTCCTCCTTCTCCTCATCCCCCTCCTCCTCCTGGACCTCCTGCCGGGCGGGGCGAGAACCCAGAGGTCCAACGCGTGGGAAGGGCGGCGAGCGAGAGAGGGGGAAGTGAGAGGTTCGAGCTTGGAGGTTCGAGCTTGGAGGTTCGAGGCTCGGGTTCGGGGTTCGAGCTCCGAAGTGAGAGGCTCGAGCTTGGAGGTTTGAGCCTGGACCCCTCCTAATTCACGGGCGGGGCGAGAGCCCAGAGATCCAACGCGTGGAACCCCCAGATCCCCAGAGTTCCAACGTCTTGAACAAAATATCAAGGCGGAGGTTTTTCGCAAGTGTCGGCCTCTGGGGGCCTTCACCGGGCCTCGGGGCCGTCAAAGAGCGACTCAGGATGAGAAGCCGTTCCTGGGGAATGGGTCGAGACTTCCGGGGACCGCGCATGGAACAAATCACGACGTCGGCTCTCTGGGAACCCAGAGGTCCAGCGCGTGGCATCGGCGGCGAGCGAGAGGGGGGAAAGTGAGAGGCTCGAGCCCGGAGGTTCCTGGCTCTGAGCGGTCTTTCCTTGTGTTTTCGGCCCCGGGGGGCTGCCTTTTCGGGCCCTGGGGCCCTCGAAGCTCGATCCGGGGCGAAGGGCCGCGCGGGATGGACCCCCGGGGAGGGCCCAGGGACGCATCTTGACCGACGTTCGGCGGCGCGCCCAGGGGGGGAAGTGAGAATGAGAAGGCCCTCTCAGAAAGCGGCGCACACGCGCACGTGTTTTCAGAAGCCGCGCCTGGACGGCGCACCGGCACAGAACTGCTGCGAGCATGCACATGCGGGGAAGCATGGAAAGAGTAGATACGCCATGCAGGGGGAAGGGGCTGAGACCACCAGGAGTCTCTGTACTTGGCGACCCGCTGTTCGTGCACCTGCGAGCGAAACTTGCGGAGGAGGCCAGGCTGTTCAGAAGGCGGCATGGCTTCTCAGAAGGCCGGGGGCCTTCTGAGCCTTCCAAGAGGCCCGCTCCTTCTCACTCCCCCCCGACGATGATGATGACGATGACGATGACGATGAGACGATGAGATGATGACGATGACATCGTCTCATCATCATCGTCATCGTCATCGTCGGCTCGCCGCCGATGGAAAGAGTCAAGACGGACAATTGTTACTGCTCTCGGCCTCTGGGGGCCCTCGCCTGGCCCCGGGGCCATCACAAGAGACGACTCGGGATGAGAAGCCGGCCCCCAGGAAGGGTTCGAGACACGTCCTGTGCCCGTGGGGTGTAGCCGGCGGCGACGTGAGTGGACGCCTCCCCAACGGGGTCCGAGCAGATGGGGTCGGAAGATCGCGCCGCATCGCCGCGCCGCGTCGCCGATGTGTCGCCGATGCATCGGCGACGCATCGGCGACGTCGGTGATGCATCGTCGACGTCGGGCTCCACATCGAGCCGCACCTCCGATGCATCGGCGATGCGGCGCGATCCTCCGACCCATCTGCTCGGACCCCATCCGGTAGGCCTGGAAATCGGGGCGAGTAGTCCAAGAGCGGGCATTGCACGTGTTCGCTGGTGAGCCTCGCCGAGGCCATTGGCCATCGGTGCTCTCAGTGCACGTACTGCTGCCCTCTTGGCCATTCGCCCTGTCGTCGTCCCTGGGAGAACCCAAACAGAGGGTCAGCGAGTCCTCTCGCGCGGCTGCTTTCCCTGGCGCCTCCGAGCGCTTGAGGCGCTCTCATGCTTCGAAGAAAGCTCTCTCATGCTTCGGGGCCGAAACCACCTGCACCCAACATGATGAGCGACGATCGAAACCGGGTCTAACGCGAGATGGCCTGGTGACCGTACGCGGTGGCTCACGCGGGCCGCCTGCGCGGTACGCCACATTGGAGACGGGGGCGCTTACGCGCAACCCTACGCGGGCAGCTTGCGCGTCAATGTCGGCGAAGACGACCCCGTTTTTCTTGCGTCGCTCAGATGTCGCACTCCCCCTCCTTTTGGTCTGCCCAGATCCTGGCACCTCTCGGCCTCCACGTCGTCGACGTCCTCTGCGCCAGGTCGACGGTGCAGGAGCAAAAGGATGATGCTCCGATCAGTGCTCTCGAGTCCACGCGGCCATGTTGGAAGGACCCCCTGGTCCGAATGCATGCAAAGAAGTGATCCGGCCAACGTCCAGAGCAGTTGTATGTCGCCTCACTTGTAGCAAGGCGTGCGATCAGCAAGGCGGCAAGAGAACAATATACGTGTTTGTTTTAACAACGTGGACCTCCAGAGGTCTGGATCCCTTCCCCAGGACCTGGTCTTCCATCCCGAATCGTTGTTTGCCAGTCCTGGGCCCTGGCGAGGGCACCCAGAGGCCGAAGATGGCACAGAACCCCCGTCGTTTTTTTTTTCTCCTTCTTGACGCGAGAGGATCTGAGCTCGATGGGCGGAGGAGGATTGAATCGTGAGGTTCCTGGACGTGCTTGCCCCCCTCTCCGGCCTCCAGGGCGCACCTCTCCGTGGGCCCCCCTCCGAGGGGGTCTCCGGAGGCCTCCGAGGTCCTTCCGGCCAGAGGGGGAGCTCACAGCACTGCTGTGTGCAAGTGCTCCCCCTTCCGAGCTCCCTCGGCTTCCCTCCCTGGAGCTCAGAGCAGTGGTTGGCACCCACTGCCGGTGGCGCAGGCCACCATGCATCTCCTCGCTTCTCCTGTCACAGGCAGGCTATTGCAAGAAGGTCCAAGCCTGCAGGTTGGCGTCTAGCAGGCTACTCTGATTTCGGGATGGGGGGCTGTTGGGATCGGGGGTGGTCGTGGAAGATCGGGCGCAGGCTTCGGTGCAGCAGTGCAGTTTTCGCCAAGATTTGACAGCACCCTGAGCGTCAGGGTCTCCCCCCTCCTCCCTCTCTCCTCCTACATCCTCCGTCCTCATCTCCCCCTCTGGGGCAGGGCTGGTGGAGGAGCCGCACGTGCATCGGCTGCTGGCCGATCCAGATCGCTCTCCTCGGTCACCCCGCGAAGGGAAGGGCAGAACGAAAAGGCTCTGGCGGAGGGGGAGGCCCTCGCTTCCGGATGATGATGATGATGATGATGATGATGATGATGATGATGATGATGATGATGATGATGATGATGATGATGATGATGATGATGATGATGCTGATGATGATGATGATGATGATGATGATGATGATGATGATGATGATGGTGATGATGATGATGATGATGAAGGGGTAGCGGGAGGATGAGGAGGAGGAGGAGGAGGAGGAAGGAGTGAGGAGGAGGAGAGAGGTGGGGTGGGAGGGGGAGGGGCGAGGGGGGGAGGGGTCGTAGGGTGGGAGGTGAGGAGGGGGAGGAGGGAGGTAGGAGAGAGGAGGAGGGAGGAGGAGGAGGAGGAGGAGGAGGAGGAGGTCGGTGGAGGTAAGGAGGAGGAGGGAGGAGGAGGAAGAGGAGGGGGAGGGCAGGAGGTGAGGAGGAGGAGGAGGAAGGAGGAGGAGGGAGGAGGAACAGGAGGAGGAGGGAAAGCGAGGGGAAGGAGGAGGAGGCGGAGAGGAGGAGGAGAGGAGGAGGAGGAGGTGGAGGAAGGAAGCAGAACCCCCCCCCCCCCCCCCCCCAGCGTGTCTCCACAGGAGTCGCAGCCGATCTGTCGACGGTTGCCATCTTCGGCCTCCGGGGGGGCCCTCGCCAAGGGCCCTGGGACCGTCAAGAGGAGCGGCGCTCGGGTCGAGAGGCGGGTGCCAAGGAAGCGGCTCGAGAGATCTCCGGGGTGCACACACGGAGGGCATCCTGCCGTCGGGGGTCTGGAGGGGGAGGAGGGAGGAGGGCGGAGGATAGGGAGGAGGGGGAGGTCGGAGGAGGAGGCGGAGGAGGAGGAAGAGGATACAGAGGAGTGGGGCCAGGATGATGCTGCTGCTGGTGATGGTGATGGTGATGATGATGACGATGGGAGCGGTTGAGGATGGTGACGATGATTCTGAGTATGTGATGATGATGGTGATGAGGATATTGAGACTGTTGATGCTTGGGTGAGCTGAGAAGGTGGACACAATAACGATGATGATGAGGAGGATGATAAGGGTGTGCTGCTGCAGATTATAATGGTGATGGGCTCGGTGGGGTGGAGGATGATGTGCTGGTGTGGTGTGTGATTGGGAATGATGATTGAGGAATGCTTACGGATCTCATGGTGTGATGCGGTTGATGACGATGCTGCTGCTGCTGCTGCTGATGATGATGATGATGAGGATGCTGATTCTGACTATGATGGTGATGCTGAGGAGAAGAATGAGAAGATGGACCAACATAAACCCAACATGTATGAATGATACGGCAACGCACGCTTCCGTTTCAAATCTCCTCCCCGTAAACCTGTACAACGACATTCTGAGCCCTCACTTCTACGGGGATCGCTCTCCTTGCATGACGGACAACCTGTGGGTCTGTCATTCAAGCGAGCCTCTCCGTTTTGAAAAGACGCCGCTCCCCATCCTTGCAACCGAGAGACATGTCGTAACGTTTCGAGTGTCCAACGCAGACCCCGATATGACTAGGAACCGTACTCCATCCGTGCGGCTAGTGCACATGTTGGTAATTATGGACATCATGTCCACAGACATAATGTCCAGAATTGCGACGTGTGTGAAACCGAATGATTCGGTTTCACACACACATCGCAAGCGAACTCCCCATTTCGTAAAGGAGCCGCCCTTCATCCGTGTAGCCGTTGCACCTCTGTCAAACGAACGTGCGCGACTCCTCCTCCTCCTCCTCCTCCTCCTCGTCCTCCTCTTCCTCCTCCTCCTCCTCCTCTTCCTCCTCCTCCTCTTCTTCCCTCCTCCTCCTCCTCCCCCTCCTCCTCCTCCGCCCTCCTCTTCCTCCTCCTCCTCCTCGCTGGCGGCCTGGCGATGGGGGGCGCCGAACGCTCCTCGGCGCCGGGGGACTGCGCGATCAGGTCCACCGTGCCGCCCGCTGGGTTCAGGCAGGCGACCACGTAGAGCCCAGGACGGGGGAGCGGGGCGGGGAACGGGTGCGGCGCCCGCCCACGATGATGATGCTACTGACGATGATGATGACGATGATGCTGATGATGATGACGATGATGCTGATGATGATGCTGATGATGATGGTGCTGCTGCTGCTGATGATGATAATGATGATGATGATGCTGACGATGCTGATGCTAGTGATGATGATTACGATGCTGATGATGGTGATGATGATGGTGGTGCTGATGATGCTAGTGATGATGATGATGATGATGATGATGATGATGATGATGATGATGATGATGATGATGATGAGGAATAAGATGATAAGGATGATGCTGCTGCTGATGATGATTCTGCTTGTGATTCTGATGATGATGATGATGTTGATGGTGATGATGACGATGCTACTGATAATGATGAATGGTGAATTAATGATGATGGTGGTGATGATGATGCTGATGATGGTGGTGGTGAGTGCGCAGACTGAATGGAGTCCGCGGCGCAGCGTGCTGGCGGCCACACCAGACGGGTCAAGACCGTAGGACCCGCCCCCGTGCTTGAGGACCCGCCCCCGTGCTTGCACGACGCTCATCCCGAATGCCCACCAACGGGTTAAGGCAGGGAGAGCAACAAAGACAAACGAGCTTATGATATATAGCGAAGCTCAAGCAGGACAATATTAACGAGTTAGTCAGTCGAGTTGCAGCCAGTGCACCTCAAGCAGAAACATGGAGCCTCCTTTAACCTGGTATGGTCTCGCTACGAAGCAAGTCTGCATGGTGGCGATTGGTTGAAGACCTGCGAGCACGGGGGGGCCCCTCGCTTGCTGCACGGAGGAGGGTGGGGGCACACATCAATAGAGGCCTCCTAGATGGGGTCGGAGTAGATGGGGTCGGTGGATCGCGCCGCTTCGCCGATGCACCGGCGATGTATCGGCGATGCATAGGCGATGCATCGGCGATGCACTGGCGATGCAACGTCGACATCGGCGGTGCATCGGCGACGTCGACGTGGAGCAAGGCGGGCTCCACATCGAGCCGCATTGCCGATGCATCGGCGATGCGGCGCGATCCTCCGACCCCATCTACTCCGACCCCATCTAGGAGAGCTAAAATCAAGCAGGGCGGAAACTCTGCCTGTCGAGATGGCCTCGCCAGGGAGGCACCTCACGACGTTGCCCATGGGGGGCGCAGCAACCTCGTGGCCACAGGCGCTCCGGGGAGGGACGCCGCCGGCCTGGGGCAGCGGGAGCCGGGGGCCAAGAGCTCGGAAGCATGTGGCCCGCCCCCAGGGCCCGAGAGAGCGTGGCGAGGTCTGGGCGGCGACCCCCCAAGACCCGGGCGAGGACTGTAGGAGCCAGAGGAGGAGGAGGAGGAGGAGGAGGAGGAGGAGGAGGAGGAGGAGGAGGAGGAGGAGGAGGAGGAGGAGGAGGAGGCGGAGCGCGCCTCGAAGATGCGCACGGCCTCGCGCAGGTCGCCGGCGTCGGAGGGCGCAAAGCTGACTCCTTTCCTTCTGTCGTTGGGGGGGGGCAGTCAAACAGGCTCGGGCCACCCTCGGAGGCGAGGTGGGAGAGCAAGGGCGGACCCGAGCAGTAGCAGAGCTAGCGCCAGCAGCAAAAGTAGCAGAGCTAGCGCCAGCAGCAAAAGGAGCAGGAAGCGAGGAGAGAGGAGAGGACACCAACTCGCCAGTGGGAGCTCCCAGCCTCGCACGAACCCGTCGCAGGACGGGTGGCGGCAGGCGAACTCGGACAGCACTCGAGGTGGTCCACTGATCCCTCGACGACGACGGCGGGGACGACTCTCCCCCCCCACCCTCGACCTCGGCTTGATGCGCCAGCTCGTCCGTGATCATCGCATCCATATCAACGGCCATCGTTCCCGAAGGACCAGCACCGTCGCCTCTGAACGAAGCGTTGTGAGAGGGTGGCATGCGAGACTGGCACTCATATTCAACCTGAGGGTCCTGAGAGCCTGACGCCCTGGAACGCAACTTCGCATAAAGCACTTATTTCGCAAGGCAGCGGCGGTTTGCGAACATCTTGCGCTGATCATCGGACCGAACGGTCTTGGAGCAAATCGCGCAACGCCACATGGCTCCAACTTCAAAGAACACGTGCCCAAACCCAGGGTCAGGATGAGCAACATTACGGGCAGAAGCTCCACTTCGCGCCTTTCGTCGCTTTTCAAAAAAGATCCTGACCTGGGGCAGCTTCCCTCATACACTTCGCGTGCGGCTTGGCCATCCAGGCAAACGTTTTTCGAGCAGCCTTGCATAGCTGCTTCGCCACATGA